CGCCGACATTATTCGTTGCACCCCGTGCCGTGTCGCCTCCAGCTGCCACGACGATGTCGACGCAGCCGACCACCCCGGGCCCCACCGAGCCTCCAATCACGGACGGCATCCACCGCACGGTCGTCTTCATCCACAAGCAGACCACAGACGGACAGGACATGTTCGCCACGGGCGGCGTCGGACCCGATCAGCGCCCCGGTAGGCAGACGTTCCCTTTCCTTCGTTTCTGAAAGGTTTCCTCCAAGCTAATGCGGGGAGCACGTTTGCAACCATCCGGATCGATGGATATGCCAAAAATTTGCCTATACCGTAAAAGCTTAGTGTTAAAACTTGGAGTGCGGGAAGTTCGCCTGAGTTTCGTCCCTTAATTTTTTGCAACACAGTGGTAAAAGCTACCTCGCTAGTGTCGTGTGGATAACATCACTAACGAAAGGTCTCACTAAGGAATAAAAAAATTAAGAGATTTAATGAAGACAAAGAAGCTCGATGAATTTTAGGCAGAAAGGTAGCGCCAAGACCGAGCATGAGATAAAAACCTTTTAGCCTAAAAAGCTACAATAATAAATTTAAGAGAAAAAATTCGGCGGTGAGAAACTGCTCTTGAAACTGGCTCTCTCAGCAAGTTCGGCTGCATGGTCGCTTCCTTGCCGTTTCCGAAACCAGGGTGCACGGAGGACGCGGAGACGAGCGAATGTGCCATCAGCATCACGACCAATTCCCTCGGAGAAGGGGAACACTACGATAAATATAATTCCTGGAGGGAAGGAGACACGAAGTTGGACTGGTACGGGGAGCAATCTGGACAGGGATCGTTTAATGGGCAACCGGTGGAAGGGACTCCTCTCGCCTGGACTTCAAATCTGCAAGACGATCCTGGATATCAACCCTTGAACACGTAGGCTTGCATTGACGAATTTCGACTCTCCTTCCCCGGTCCGGGCAATCAAGGAATTGCTGGCTTCCAGATACGGGGAGCACTATTGGATGGTGGACATGGACATGGATTGCTCGGAGACGGAACAAGGTTGGTTCGAGGTGAAGGGATTCGTGAAGGGGGGAGTCGGCGAGGAGACGGACGTGAGTCAGGCCGCGAATTGCAGGGGGACTGCAGGTGGGGCTGCTCCTTATTCTTCTGCTCATCATATGGGGAAGTGTGGATACCTCAATGTCTTCAAGTTCTCCGATCCGAGCTGCATCATCGAGGTCATAAGCGAATGAGAGAAATCGAAGCAGCGGCACTTGCCAATAAATCGATTCCTGTGACCAGACGGCCGGGATTTTCTTTTCTCTACCTGTTCATATCCACAAGGGAAGGGACGGGTAATTGAGCTATTAAGAGAGCTATTAGCACTTGCGACCAACTCAGAGAAGCCCTGCCAACAAGTTCAATTTCTGCCATGCTACTACTAACAAAATTATCAACAAATATATGAAGCCGGTGAAGCAAAAAGCCCCAGTTTCACAAACTGCAACCTTATCGTGTTGCAGACCGACAGGGCCATTCCAGACGAACTCAAACAGGTAGGGTGCTTCACCATCTTGGATTTTGCGATAGAAATTCTCTGCGATTTGCAGTCACTTTAAAGACTCCTGAAAATGCAATTCGCTCCATCGATTCTGCGATTAGCGATATTTCGCACTGAAAAAATTAGAGAACGAAAAAACCCCATGAACGCGAAAAGTTTCATTCTCACAAACCGTTCTTCGTATGAACCAGAGCTCTTCAATGAATGACCAAATGGCGAAATCGCGAAATCATCGAAATTTTGGCGACGGGAGCCAGCGACTGGGAAACCTCATGCCTGACCCCGTTCTTGAGGCTCCCGGCTGAAAATCCTTTGAGATTTTTTAATATTCTGTGTGCAGGTAGGGTGACTGACAAGAGTTTAGATTGGAAACTCACGATCCTCGTGATTGATAGCGAATGAATGGGTGGCAAGTGAAGAGATAAAAAGTTATAGGCTGAAAACTCACTTCAACGTGCCAAAAAGGAATCGATAACCTGAGACCAGCAAGGACAGAACGACCGCGCATAAAACAGCTTCCAGTGGACCCAGAGGTAAGAAATCGCTNAAAAAAAAAAAAAAAAGAAACCGATGGCTATTAAGAATGAACTTCGGGAATATTCCCTGGATCGAGCAAAATTGTCGATGGCATTGCTTCTTCAGCTCGACATTTTGGGAATCGGTTGAGAAGATTCTCATGCACGAATGGCGACATTTTCGCAAAAATAATACCATTACGAGCGGAAGATCCTTCAAGGGCGCTGAAGGTTTGACTCGGTGATGCGAACGTTCGGAGTTGGTTAGCAAAAAATGTCACGTGTTAGCAATGTTAGCAAAAATGTGACTCTGCTCAACCAAAGGGCGGTAGAGGAGTTTTCGCTCGGGAGGAGGAGGAAGTAATGAAATATTATCGTTGGGGAACAGTGAGTTCTTCTAGCCCATTATTTTAAAAGAATTGTTTAGAACGATCAGGAAGGTGATACAGTTCTCATTTGACGGAGTGTCTAACCATGCCCCTTTCACAAAGCGAGAGAGATTGGAAAGTCAACTTCAGCGACTCTCTTACCAATGCAAAAAGAGATGGGAAGAATGGAAGCGATCACGTTCTCGGGTTTTGCATGAACGTAGTTTTTTTTTTTGGCGCTTGGCCTGCTGCATAGACTTGGATTTTCGCCTGGCCTCATGCTCTGTGGCTTTCGTCTCGCCTTTTCCTGACGAACGCCGACATTATTCGTTGCACCCCGTGCCGTGTCGCCTCCAGCTGCCACGACGATGTCGACGCAGCCGACCACCCCGGGCCCCACCGAGCCTCCAATCACGGACGGCATCCACCGCACGGTCGTCTTCATCCACAAGCAGACCACAGACGGACAGGACATGTTCGCCACGGGCGGCGTCGGACCCGATCAGCGCCCCGGTAGGCAGACGTTCCCTTTCCTTCGTTTCTGAAAGGTTTCCTCCAAGCTAATGCGGGGAGCATGTTTGCAACCATCCGGATCGATGGATATGCCAAAAATTTGCCTATACCGTAAAAGCTTAGTGTTAAAACTTGGAGTGCGGGAAGTTCCGGACTCAAAGCAGGGAATTAAAAAACGTTGTGTCACCATTTTCGATGGAGCGATCACAGCACACCTATTGTAGTGATTGCTTTCCAGAGTGATTCCTTATTTTTTTAATTCTCTAAATTACTTCTGGAAGAAGCTCGATGAATTTTAGGCAGAGAGGTAGCGCCAAGACCGAGCATGAGATAAAAACCTTTTAGTCTAAAAAGCTTCAATAGTAAATTTAAGAGAAAAAATTAAGCGGTGAGAAACTGCTCTTGAAGCTGGTTCTCTCAGCAAGTTCGGCTGCATGGTCGCTTCCTTGCCGTTTCCGAAACCAGGGTGCACGGAGGACGCGGAGACGAGCGAATGTGCCATCAGCATCACGATCAATTCCCTCGGAGAAACGGTTCACTACGAGAAATATAATTCCTGGAGGGAAGGAGACACGAAGTTGGACTGGTACGGGGAGCAATCTGGTCAGGGGACGTTTAATGGGCTGTCGGCGGAGGGGACTCCTCTCGCTTGGACGTCGCATCTTCAGGCCTCTCCCGGTTATCAGCCCTTGAACAGGTAGGCTTGCATTGACGAATTTCGCCTCTCCTTCCCCGGTCCGGGCAATCAAGGAATTGCTGGCTTCCAGTTACGGGGAGCACTATTGGATGGTGGACATGGACATGGATTGCTCGGAGACGGAACAAGGATGGTTCGAGGTGAAGGGATTCGTGACCCCCCCTCAGCCGCTCCTCTGCCTGCACTCAGTCCGGCGCTTAACGTCCCCCTGACGTCCACCCCGACGAGGAATAAGAAGACGAGTAGTATACCCCTTCACACCTATGGAGTTACAGAAGTTCAAGTCCGATCCAAGCTGCATCATCGAGGTCATAAGCGAATGAGAGAAATCGAAAGCAGCGGCACTTGCCAATAAATCGATTCCTGTGACCAGACGGCCGGGATTTTATTTTCTCTACCTGTTCATATCCACAAGGGAAGGGACGGGTAAGTGAGCTATTAAGAGAGCTATTAAACTTGCGACCAACTCAGAGCAGCCCTGCCAACAAGTTCAATTTCTGCCATGCTACTACTAACAAAATCATCAACAAATATATGAAGCCGGTGAAGCAAAAAGCCGGTCAAAGTGTTTGACGTTGGAATAGCACAACGTCTGGCTGTCCCGGTAAGGTCTGCTTGAGTTTGTCCATCCCACGAAGTGGTAGAACCTAAAACGCTATCTTTAAGAGACGCTAAACGTCAGTGACCAAAGAATCCTGAAAAATGCAATTGGTTCCATCGATTCTGCGATTGGCGATATTTCGCACCGAAAAAATTAGAGAACGAAAAAACCCCATGAACGCGAAAAGTTTCATTCTCACGAGCCGTTCTTCGTATGAACCAGAGCTCTTCAATGAATGACCAAATGGCGAAATCGCGAAATCATCGAAATTTTGGCGACGGGAGCCAGCGACTGGGAAACCTCATGCCTGACCCCGTTCTTCAGGCTCCCGGCTGAAAATCCTTTGAGATTTTTTAATATTCTGTGTGCAGGTAGGGTGACTGACAAGAGTTTAGATTGGAAACTCACGATCCTCGTGATTGATAGCGAATGAATGGGTGGCAAGTGAAGAGATAAAAAGTTATCGGCTGAAAACTCACTTCAACGTGCCAAAAAGGAATCGAGAACCTGAGACCAGCAAGGACAGAACGACCGCGCATAAAACAGCTTCCAGTGGATCCAGAGGTAAGAAATCGCTGCAGGCAAAAGAAAAAAAGCGCGCAAAGAGAGCCCAAATCAGGTTAGTTTATACCTTTTACTCGATTCAGTACCTTCTGTTCGTCTCCGTTATGTTCGCCTGCTCCCTTTAATCTTCACCCCGGAAGAACCTGTAGAGCCGTCTACAGCGAGAGTAATGTTACAGCCTCTCATTACAATGTCGGTCTCATTACACCTGAACGGTTATGGTCTTATCCGGAACCTTCCATGTTCGAAAATGGATTTTCCGCAAAAAATAATTTAGCCTCATTTATTATTGCTCTATCGCTAGGACAGGAAGAGATAATTATGGACACCAAGTGTACAACATCGATTACCACACAGTCATGTGCAACCGGTCGATCTCCGATTCCACGGAANTCTTATCCGGAACCTTCCATGTTCGAAAATGGATTTTCCGCAAAAAATAATTTAGCCTCATTTATTATTGCTCTATCGCTAGGACAGGAAGAGATAATTATGGACACCAAGTGTACAACATCGATTACCACACAGTCATGTGCAACCGGTCGATCTCCGATTCCACGGAAGAATGGAGAGAATTAGTACCGTAGAAAGGTGTAGAACAAGCAAATCCAGAGAAAAAAAACAGTTAAAGATGGTACGCGAGGTGAATGGGGTGAAACGATGAAAATGGGTGAGAGTCCCTGATGAAGACAAGTACGTGACCCAATGATCAGAATATTTTCCATTTTTATGTATACGGCATACGGTCCATTTAGTACTGGACATTATTTCTTCAACTCTTCACTTGTACAGTACTTCATCGATCCAAAGTAAGAATCCACCTTCGTTCTCGCCAGAATTGCTGGCGCAACTCTGGGCTACCTGACCACACCGCCATTACGCCGTTAATGGAGATTTCGGCGCATGCGTGGACGGGCGCTTTCGTTTCTTTCTCGCGACTTGCGCATCGATGCTCTCGTGGTGTGCCGATTTCGTGTGTTTCTGAAGCGAATCCGTCAGGGCTACATCATCGAGGCGATGATGTAGCTCGATCGTAACCCTGGTACTCACCATCCTCATCGTCCATCTGGGACGTGCTGTCACGTTCTCCATCCATGGCATCTACGTGGGATCATCCCCGGACATCGTCGCCACTGTTGACACCTCCTGCAATACTCCGCACTAGTGGGAATCGGTCCTCCGTGGATCCTCCCAATACAGATCAAACGGAATGAATGAATGAATGAATGAATGAATGAATGCCATCCACGTTACATCAGTCGTTTCTCAGAGAGGAGCAGCCAGGATATGCATAACCTTTGACGTAACAACAGGACTCCCTGGTTGTGAAGTCGTAAGGTGCTGCCAAGAGACTAGCGGCCCTAGCGTCTCGTCCAGCTTGCCCAGAACCATAATGAGACTGCCGGTTGGGTTGAAAAATCGGTAATATTAATATTTCAGTAGTTATGCATATGAATTCCTTTAATGCATATGGAAATAATGTA